TTAGAAAAAAGTCGCCTCTAATTAGCTTGCATTCCAGATGATACAGACCAAGTTGCACCAGACGGTCAGGATAAATTAGGTGTTGCATTCTACCCACCGCTTTTTCTTCCGCTCTTTGAACTCGTCCAAGACTATCACGATCACGGATCAAGCCGGAATAAATAACTTGACTACCATATTCTTGAAGAGATTTTGCTTTTATCATAAGCCTTTGTTAAACTATTCATGACAGTCAGCATATTTGTGATGCAAGATCTGCCTGGCAGAACTCCATATTGGAAAGTCGAAATTAAATTATTCGCGCAGACGTTCTTCAAGTTGGCCTCTTCCAGAATGCGCTCTAGAATTTTACTCTGTACACTAGTCAAGGAGGTAGGATGGTAGCTTACTGGAATGAACCTACTACCTTTTTCGTAGATGAGGGAGAGAACTGCGGCTTTCCAGCGAAAAGGGAATATTCCTTCATCCATACACCGTTGGAATAGTCGAATGTATGGATCATCTGAGATGTCCGCCGATTCTTTAAGAATTCTAGGGTGCATTTCACGGACCCCATTGAGAAGCAGGGGTGAGGTCGCGTAGCTTTTCTTCTACGTCTAACAGTGAGAAAGTAACACGGTTGAGCGTGGAGTTTAGTGATGAGGGTTGTAGTATCGAATAAGTAGTAGTAGGAGTGAAACTAATGATGACCTGGTAGCGCTTTTGAAATACGCCTCCTATCTGGGAAGCAGCAGTAACTTCTGTCCCGTCTAGTAAGTTGAGCGTAAGAGAGGGGTGATATGTACCACGCAGTCGACGGATATACTTTTCTTTTGAGCCCGTTCAAGTTTAGCTCTTCTAGTGCGCAGTTTGTATTCCCTAGTATTTGAGCGGCAGATGTTCCTGAACCTTCTAAATGCTAGACCATCGACTTTGAGTCCCGTTTGCTTGTACCTTGCAAACAGTTAAGGCCGCTCATTTAAAAGCCTGCGGATGGGACGAGGGAGGTATTTTGGAGCTAGAGCGTTAGAGAACACGGGGGAAGAAACGCTCATCAGTTGAATTGACGATTTGTTCCATATGTTCAGTGAAATTGTCTACGGGCAGATCCAGAGAAAGACTGTGAAACTGTGCCCTAACAAACTCTCTAAAGGAACGGAAGTTGGTACGCTTGAAGGATCGGACCATTTGTGGACACTCCATTTTGGTGTTTCACTGCGTAATGTAGTCAAAGAGCAGGATTACTTGGTGACTCTTTTCGAGAGGTGGAAGGTGATTCACCGCGTCCATCTGGTTGTCTTCATTCCGTATTAGTAGATCTAGCAATAAAGGAGCCTGATCCGAACGGAAACTCGTAGGTTGATCTATGTGTTGAGTCCAGGAGAACGACCAAAAGAATAGTCAGAAGATTATGCTCTGAGGCAATCAAGACCCAAGACATTGAAGTCACCAGTAATTAGAAGATGGGTGAAAGGATGAATGCCATTCATTACTGATAAATAAATGTTTTTTACTTCCTTTTTCTATTTATTGAATATACAAATTTACAGTCAACTTTCAGAAAGGGGGCTGCGGCCATACAAAGGCTGTCTGACCCTAATTGGTCGATGAGTTATTGGCTTCGATGGGAGAGCTCTGCGCGGGACGGTACACAACTCCAAGCAGGAGGGTGACTGACATTGATAGTTTTAGTTGAATCCAAAATGCATCTATTGAGTGTATTGGGTCACCTGAAGTAAGAAAAGGAGGAGGGAAAGTGCAATTAACAATAGCTATAACATCACCTGCTCTGCCCCGGGCTGAGTCTGATCTTGGCAATGTATAACCGGGAATCGAGATTTCCCCGTCTAAAACATTGTCGTTCAGCCAAGTCTCGTTAAAGGGGGGAACATGGGGATGTTGCTCCATGGTAGGTTGCCTTAATTCTAAACATTTGTTTGTGAGTCTAAAAGAGTTGCTAGAAACGCATGTAAGTATGCGTCCATCAACGTATTCAGGTGTGGTTCGTAGCAAGGCGGGACCGGGTGTGCAATCGGAAGTGACGGAAGGGATGGTAGACGTACTAGTTGAGTGTACGGTGATCGGAGGGCTATCTTGGAAGGGGCTTTCTTTACGGATCTCTCTGGCGTTTGGCCTGTCGCCCCCTTTGCCCGAAAAATTGATTCGTTGTTACAGTTATTGGGCTCTGAGGGAGCAACGCAGGAACGACCGTTAGGTGGGTGGAGAGGTGGTTTGCGTCAGCCTCCAGCCACCTTCAAATACACTTGGGTGTTCAAACATACCTTTTTGCGAGTGGGAGGATCCCCGAGGAGCCCTCTTTTAGGATTAGGTGGGGCTTAAGTTTAGACCGAGCAGAGTTTAATCTGCTTTTTGCTTTTCAGCTTCTTTTGTCTCTTATTCCCAGATGCCTCGATTGCAGTGCGGTCCAGTTTTATAAGACTGTTGTTTGCAGAGCTTGCCGCTATTGGCTTAAGGCACATTACAGTCTCGTCCAAGGGTCTGGGGTCTGAGGAAGAGAGTTGAGACTTAAGTACCTTTGAGTCCAACCGAATTGCTAAAACGAAGGCGCTTCTCAATAGTTCGGTGTACCTTGGGTCAACTTTGGGACCTTTATACTTGGGCTGCGACAGTCTCAAGTGCAAAGGTTTGTCTATGGAGACACCTAACCAGGAGCGTTTGAGTGTGGGTGTTTGGTTGAGAACTTCGTTGGTGAGCTTGGAAGACCCCAAATCAAACAGAAAATCTAGGCATCTCTGCGAACCTTTGGTGGTTAACCAGGTAGAGCTAAGAGGTTTGTATTTACACGGTTCTATAATGCTGAATATGTGCTTACATATACTCTTTAAGGTATCGGACATGGACAATCGCCTCCTGAAGATAGCCCGCTTGGCACATTGTTCGCTGTCCTTTAGTTTCCTAGCTGCGTCTGGTATTTCTTTCTGAGAAGGCTTGAGAGCTCTGTTCGCAGCGCAAGTTTTTGGGACAGATGTTGGGAGCAAAGCTTGTAGACTGGCAATCTGGTCGCCAAAAGTATTCAGCCTAGCTTTTAGATCAAGGTCACACTTCTCCTCAGAAATCACCATACGACGGACGAGTGCTTCTTTTTGCACGTCGTATGGGTCGTGTGCGAGGATATTCATGCAAATATCCCTGAAGTTGCTCCATATGTCTCGCGGTATGGCGGACAAGAGTTTGTGGTAACGTGATAGTCGCCCAGTGATACGGGCTTCATAGAATCGCCATTCTATAAGTGGGAGTAACGCCTCTCGGTCCACAGGCATAAATTTCGGGGCTCTGCTTTGGGCCCAGAGTGCTTCTTATACTCGGGGTAGTCTTACTTAACCGTAGATATACGACATCATGTTGTGAAACCGATTATAAAGCGAAAGTGGTAAGATCTAATACCGAATGTCTGTTAAACCACAATCTGAAAATAAATGTAAATGATATAGGACTGTAGAAACTATGCACGAGTAATATACTAGGATTATGTCCTAGAGGACTAAAAATTCTCCGAAAAATATTTTTCCAACGTAATTAAAAAATAGGAGGGTTCACCAATTTGTAGGCACTGGTTTATTGATAGTCCAAGCTAATACGTCTATATCGCAAAGGAGCCTTCGTACGAAGGCACAACAAGAGGATTCGCGAAACGAAGGACAGTTTTATTATGGTTACCTGCAGAGCAAAATGGGAGATGCGAAAGCGTTAGCAAGCGTGCGGAAAGTGAAAGCAAACACGCGCTGACCAAGGAGGTGATCTTGATGTGGTAAAACAGTGAGATGCAGGGAAGGGAGGGTATATGTAGGATGGGGAGTGATTTGTGTCACTACACTGGTAACAGCCGCGATTGCTCAAACCTTACCTGTCTTTTCCAGTTGTAGACGGAGAATGGAAGAAGCGGTGTTATACACTAATACGTTCAGCATATGTAACAAATGGATGGAGCTCTTTGAGGTGGCCGGTGAATGCGACCAGGGGTAGTTTCAGTCACCGAAACTTGGTTATCTAGAAATGACCACGTACCCTGAGTCTTTCAAGAGCGTTATGCAATTTACAGACAGGATATAGAGCATGATTGTCTGGGAGGGGTATTAGCCATCTTTATTAGGGAGAGCATAAGCCACCTCGAATCCCAGGTCAGGGAACGCACCAGGAACCTTCAAGTATGCACTGTCACACTGATCCTTCCGAAGAGTAAGATTAACGTGACATGCGTTAGTCGGTCCCATGGTTCGAGTCGTGAAGAGCATATTAACCTTCTTTGAGTCCTGACAGAAATAATTAAGGAACCCGGCGAGACTCTGATCGTGGGTGATTTCAACATGCCGAATAAAGATTTGGAACTTGAAAGGAGCACATCTGGAACATAGGAAGAGGCATTCCTGGAGAGGCTTCATGAAAATGCAATGAGGCAAATCTTGAAATACAACACCAGATACAGAACAGGCTGCCTTCCCTCACTACCGGATCTTGTAATTACGAAGCACCCGACGGATGTCGTTGATTTGAAGTTACTCCCACCGTTACGTAAGAGTGATCATGTATGCTTGAGAATTACATTCTGCATGCGGCATCCGAAAGCTACCACCAGAATGGCAAGAAAATTTGGAGTCATGAACGTATATCTCCTCTATATCAGAGCAGCTCAACTAGCCTGGGACGACGAAGTAACCAGTATCGAAGGTTTATTGGGAGTACTTAAGAAATTGCTGCACATACTGTAAGACAAATTTCCGCCGTTGAAACCCAGACGGCACCTAATCAATCCGATCTGGTGGTGAGCGGCGATAAACAAGGCCATCAAGCGTTGAAACCGAAGTTGGCGCTTGTACAAAGTTTATGGGAGCCGCCTAGATTGGACGCGCTACGCAACCCTCAGGAGCGCACCGGTCGAAGTGGTACGAACGACCAAACGCAACTATTCGTTTAGGCTGACCAAATGCACCATGACCATCCAAAAACATTTTACGGGTATGTACAATACAACGGGACACTCAAGGATTGTGTGGGACCGCAGGATGACAGGATGGCAAGCTGTTTCTGCAGACGCAAAAAGCAAAGTGGACACACTAAGTGTCCACTTTAGCGGTGTTTATCGTACGGACAACGGTGCGCCCGCAACCTCGTATACGGCAAATCCTCCTGTAGTTATTGACGATTTGCGTCTAATGGAGGACATGGTTAGGAGCCACCTAGAGAGCTTAGATATAAACAAATCGGCTGGTCCCGACGGTATCCACCCAGCCATTGTAAAACCATTAGCGGGTATCTTAGGTCGACCACCATGTCCACTATTTAAGCTAAGCCTAGAACAAGGTATTCTACCATTGAATTGGAAAACAGTCCCCGTGGTAGCCAAACATAAAGAAGGGCCTAGGTTAGTAGTAGGCAACTACAGGCCGGTAAGCCTGATTAGCATTCTTTGCAAGGTGCTGGAAAGGATCATCAGAGGTCATATCTGTAAACACTTGGTGAACCATTCCATGCTGTGTGCTGCTTAGCATGGGTTCCTGAAAAACAGGTCGTGTCTCACCAATCTCTTGTGCTTCCTAGATGAAGTAACTCGCAGGTTGGGTGTAGGCAAAAGCATAGATGTATGATACCTTCATTTCAGCAAGGCCTTCGACTCTGTGAATTATCCACTTCTTTTGAGCGAGTTGAAAGCCGTCGGTATATAGGGGTAGATATTTAGCTGGGTATCTGACTTCTTAAGTGGGTGATCTTTCTACTTATGAGTAGATAGTTCCAATTCCAGCCTGAGGAGCATCACTAGTGGAGTACCTCAGGGATCGATACTGGAACCCATCAGTCAAGTCAAGTCAAGGAATGGCTTTATACAACCCGAAAGATGGATATTCAGCAACCACATAACCATAGTGTGTCAAAAAATACGTAAAACACAATAGTATATTTTATTCGTACTGTTTTCAAGTGGCCTAGCCGTAACGCGCCAGCGACCTAGCTTTTTCTTCGCAGACGATGTAAAAGTCTTAGGATCAGAGGGGCGAGAGGATGTGGCCAGGGATATTGCATCAGTCCTAAACTGGGCCCTCAAGTGGTACTTGCCACTGAATGCTGGCAAAACCAAATGCTTTCACGGCCGTAGAGGATATCACAGTAGGCCACGAGGTAGGTCCTTTCACTATGGAGGCAGCGAAAGTGTAAAAGACCTGGGACTCTTGGTAATCGCTGACCTTTGGTGATCGAATATATGTGTTAAAGTGGCACAGAAGGCTAGGGTTGGATTATTTAGGCTAAGGTCGGCGTTGTCTTGCCGTAAATCTGAGATATTTATGCCTCTGTACAAAGCCATAGCAAGGCCCCACCTAGAGTGTAGTCACTCTTCTTCAAAAAGGATGTCACCTGTTTAGAGAGGATTCAACGGCTGGTTGAATATCAGCGAGGTAAAGAATACAAGAAAAAGTTTCAGGACCTGGGACCTTGACCGCGCAGTTCGAAAGTCTGACGTGGGGAGCTCTTGGATTACATAAATCGCAAAACCAAAGAAGAACTTGAAAATTCCGGGGTATAGAAACTGTGAAAAAGTTTTTAAAAGTTTGTCAAAGGAAAACGCACAAGGTGAGCCCACATCGTACTGTGTACCTTGGTGCAATACCAGCGGTTTTTTATTTCTACCATAAGAAACCTTGTGACTCTATCTAGATTCTTAGCGTACTATAACAGTGGCTTTATCTTAAAAGCATTTGTAGTTTTCCCTGGATATTATATCTGTTTACTGTTGATTTCTTTTAAACTCCATTATTTTACAATGACTGATATGGGGCTTAACCGTACTGGCATGGGCACTAACACAAGGTCCGCTAAGGGGGAATGCAAGTCAAGCACGCGAATCCAGGAGTATCCATGCGGGAGGAAAGCTGCACTGCGGAGGTAACTGGCCAAGGCATAAGCTGTGACACCTATGGCATCTGGTACCATCTGAAATGCAGTGAGCTAACAAGTGGCAGCCTCCAAATTTACAGCCAACACAAACGCCTGAGGTGGATGTGCTCAGACTGCACAACTATTCTGTTGAACATAAAGAACAGAGATAGACAAGAAGCCAGGCCAAAACTAAAGCCCAAAAGGAAAGAGTGCACGTCTACTGCTCCACCCTCGTTTGACCTTGAAGAAAGTAGAATACCTGAAATTGTACGTAAAATGAAGATAAATAAAAAAAATGAAGGGCGAAACTGCAAGAGGCCCCCGCTAGCATGACATCCAAGAGTGAGATCGCAGCCACGCTGACGAACCTAACCAGGAGGATGAACGGGCAAAAAGAGAACTTGAATAAACTCAGGAAAGAAAAAGATATCCTGTCTGACGTAATTGAAAGACTACGAGAGAACACCGATGTAACAATAGGTAGACAACGAAACATTTTCATCCATGGTATACCTGAGTCATTCATGCGACAAGGTAGACTGAGGGACAGGAATGTGTGTGATTATTTGGCCGCGGTGGTAAGAGCCGTAGCAATCCCTGAACATGTACTAATCAAGAGAATACTCAGACTTGGGCCATGGAGGGACCCAAAAGAGTCGGAGACAGCAAATCATAGACCCATAATAGTAGAATTTGGAAACCCAATGGAAACAGGGACACGAGGACCCTCCCGTTCCATACACGGGTCCGGGAAAATGTAAGCCTTGGCCCACCAAAGCCATCTTATAGAGAGGTTCTGCTGCGAGCACCCAAGAAACAAGTATTAGACAGACCAAAAACCGGTTGAGAACCTGACTCAATTGGGGAAACTAATAATAAGGCTAAAAAAGATAAAGCAGGCCCCAAAAAGCGAGAAACAAGCTCGGGAGTGAATCCCGAGATGTCATCCTCCCTTATTGAGATGCAAAACACTAGGGGAGAAGTCCCACTACACACTGCACACACAAATGCGTGTAGCGTGGGAAACAAATGGGCGGAGCTTTGGGCGGAAACAGGGAAATTCTGATGTAGTAGCTATCACGGAAACCTGACTCAGGCCAGGAATAGACATCAAGCACCACTGCCCGCCAGCCTACTACGATTGTCGCATCGATCGGAGTGACGGCAGGATGAGTGAGGAGAACCACATACTAGTAGCACAGCATATACAGCAGTATCAGAGACGGGAACTCACTATGTCAATCCCAAACATCCAGGTTTCCTGCTGCTTGGTGAGCATTGGACCCATCAAGCTGCTGACAGTTTGCGTTTACAGAAGCCCGTCATCCTTGGCCAACGAGGCTGATGCGCCGCTATGTATGCTACGAACGGCAGCTTAGCACAATGGGAAGCTACTAATCCTCGGGGGGTTAACACAACAGAGATAAACTGTAGTGAAGAAAGTGCTGCATCGGTTTCCTTTGGCTCCACGATACTGAACCTGCTGCACGATCAAGCCCTTGTGCAACACTTAAACAAAAATACACGGTGGTGCGATTGTAGCAGACCCACCAGATTGGACCTGGTAATAACGAGAGGGGCAAATGATATGGTGAATATCCAGGTAATTGCCCCACTGGAGAACAGTGGCCATGCCCTAATTCACATTA